GTGGGTTTGAACCACCAGCCTTCTGGTTAGCAGTCAAGGTGCCTTAGCCACTATGCTACCAGAGCTCCCATCTATCTATCTATATGAAATTATATTTATATATGAAAGTTATATAAGCCCTAAGGCTGTAAGTTGGCCATATTGGGTATATGATTAGTCTTACTATTCCCCATATCTTGAAACCCCATTGGCCTCATAAAACCAGTTAGCAACTACCTCACAAACATGACATGATTGGGGCACCATTCTTTGTCATTTTCAGTCCCTTGGAGCAATTCTAGTACTTGGTAAACTAACACATTCTTCTAAAGTGGAAGGGTGTCTATTTTCTTGGCCACTGCAACTTCATTAACAATAACTACACAAATTGAGATAGGGTAGAAAGGGAAGAATCTGATCTTGGGTCTATATTAGATCAATTAAAAATCCAGCATCGACACAAATAACTGGTCAGAAAAAGTCATCTAGTAGATTGAGCTGATTTTGACATATCTAAAGAGAAAGACAAAGACTTCAGAGAACAATGCGTAATGGATCGAGCTTCATCCACCAAACACTTACGATGGCAATTCTTAGCTGTCACAGCATCTCCATAGAACCCTTTGGCACAGCTTTCACAATGGGCTCCTTCAGTGTTCCCAATGCACTTGAGGCACTCCCCAGTGACTGAATCACAGTGCCCAGCCTCCAAGGGGTCCACATTGCCACTGCAATTGCATGGGACACAGGATTCCCCAGGGACTGTTGGGTTTCCATAGTAACCATCTGCGCATCTGTATAAAAGATTGAAAGTGGTATCCAAATAAATGCAGTTATTCAAGAAATTGTCACACTATCCAGGAGTCCTCTGAATGGTTAATAAATCAGACTGACTATTTTACTTAAGATTTACCGTGGAAAGAATGCAAGTCCAAGTTCAGGCATTCACAAATTTTCTCCATCCATTGTGAAGAGAAGGTCATAAATAGATGTGGATTCACACCATCACCAGGGCCAGTTCCACCCCACCCAGCCCACTGAATGGTTTCACACCCTCCCTCACTGGCTTTCAACAGTTTGTGCTGAGACATGTGGGAAGAGACAACATTGGCTTCCAAACACCAGAAAGAAACTATTAAATCAAATCACCAATCACATATGGAATTACCTAGAATGACACAATAATTAAGTGTGTGAAAACTTTAATACAGACTCCTCAATGCTTCATATTGTCTTGATGAAAACTCAGGTGATTAATGGAGATATAATAACTGTAGTACAAAAATTCTCAGAAAGTTTTACAAATAATTTTTTAAATGGTATGCTAGTCTTTCCCTACAATTATATGAAACAATAATTCCATGTTAAAACTCCAAAAACATACATAACTTCACATTAAGAAAATAAATACATGTAATCTGTATTTTATTTAAAAAAATCGGTGCAACTTTGTAAAAGCATTTGAGTGAAGCAGAGTACCTCTCGCACCAAGCTCCTGCATATTCTGGGGCACACTGGTCACAGAGCACTTCATCTCCATCATCCACGTGGCATGTGGGGCTGAAACTATCAAAGAGTAGAGATGAACACAGTTTTCCCCTGCCCCTGTGTGGGTGGTCCAGCCTGTCTAAACATAGAAAGTGCTCAGTGTCCATCACTCCATCACTGTTGTTCTCACAGAACTCCCTGGACCCTTGCCTCTTCACCCTGAACCCAAGGCTTCCTTCCCCCTTCCACCCGGGGGGCTGGAACCCATCACATGTATCTGTGTGATGGGCATTCACTGTTCCCCACCCCAGCTCTGGCCTCTCCTGTCTCTCAGCATGGACTGCATTACTCCCCTCTTGACCTGGGCTGACCCCAGCTCATCCCCAATTCCCAGCTGTCACTTCCTCCAGGAAGCCTACTTTGAAGCTCCTGTTCCAGATGAGTCCCTTTCTTCTGGCTGCCCCTGGCACCTGGCATAACATACTGGTTTTCTTGTCTCAGAGCACAGTCCTGGATGAGCACAGGAGTGAGTTTACTTAACATAAATATTATTCAAAGACTCCTGCATCTTGGTTTTCAACATTCCCCCAGGGTCCCCACTGCTGCCTGAGGTCCCTTTCAGACCCTATCCAAGTCTCTGGGAGGCCCATGAAGGAGGTGTGGGTTGGTTCAGAGTACAGCATGGTTTCATCAAGAGTGACTGGAATGCAGTAGATACTGGGGTTTCTAGTAAAAGCCACAATAGGGAGTTTTTTGGGAATGGGTAGAGATAGCATTCTAAAGGTTAAATAATGTGGATGAGAAAGAGGCCTCTTATCTATGGCCTGCAGGATACTTGTACAAAGATTATAGCAGGTCTTATCCAGCATCATCCCTTTCCTGTACACTCAGGGCCAGTGGCAGTTCCTTACACAGGCATATTCTTTTATGCTGCCATGCCTTGTCGCACTTGGTTCCTCTGTCTATAATGCCCCTCTTTGATTGCCTGCCAAATTCCTTCTCTCCTCCAAGTCTCAGGCCAAGACCATCCTGAGGATGATTCCTGGCCTCACCCTGGTAGATTTGGTACTGCTTTCTCTGTATCCACTATAGTGATCACAACACTGTAATTTCCTTGGGATTAGTAGGCACATATGAACAGCTTTATACTTGGAGCACCTACCATGATATGTGGTACACAGGAGGTACTCAATAAATATTTGTTGAATCAATGAATGAATCAGCCCATTCTCATTGACCTCATATACACGTGCTTGGTCATTATATCAACAATCCCATAAGCACAGGGACAGTGTTTTATTCACTGCTGTATCCCCTATGCCTCTTTGCCCAGTGGCAGGCACGCAACTGATTTGTGTGAAATAATTGATGACCAACATTAGACCAAGAAGAAATACTACCCATGTGTCCATGTGTCTTTCTGATTATGTAACTTTGTTTGCATATTTTACTATATCAAATTTTTTTAAAGACAATCTTTTCATCCATCTTTAATCCTAATTAACTAACACTGAACAAAATTCTACACCTTATTACATCCAAAGCCTTGCTATGAAGATATTAGTACTCATCTTGATAGAAATTCTTATGGGGAAAAGTTTTTTTTTTTTTCTTTTCTTTCTTTGGGTAGAAGGAGGTATCCTGACCATGCTGGACAGGGACAGGTGGTGGTGAAGCAAGGCTTACTTGTTGGAGGCTGTGGAGAGAGGACAGGCACAGGGCTGACAGTTTCCAAGGGTTCCTCGGGATGGCACCCCATAGAAGCCTGGCAAGCATTGCTCACAGTGGTCTCCAGTGGTGTTGTGTGTACAAGCCTAGGGCACATGAAAAAGACACTCATCTTAGGCCCCTTCAAGGGCTTTTACTCTTTGACAGACAAGTGTGAAATCCAATTGAAGCCCAAGTGAAAAAAAAAATACAAAATGCTAAAATAAGTTATTAAATCTCAACTATATGGGGAAGCTTTTGTTTTTCCCCCATATTAACTAACAATAACATGTTTCATTTGTGTAAATGGTAAAGATAAGAACTTTACTTCAACCATGTCGAGTAACTGGGACTAGAGTTGCTCTCCTGTAGGAAACAACTAAACACTGAAATTAAACATAAAACAATGCTTTTAGAATCTGGACAACAGAGTGCAGGTTGTCTGTGACCCCTGAGAGAAGGGAAACAGACCATGTGGTCCACCCATCACATGGCTTTCTGCCTGGAGACAAACATCCACAAAGGCAGACAAATCCAAGCAGAGTATATGCTCAGGCTGAGCTGTGGAGACAGAGGTCAAAGCTATGGGATGCTGAAGAGCTGGAGTATAGCACCAATAAACACTCACCGTCATGGAGTAGGACCCAACTCATAGCAACTCCTCCTTGGGTTTCTGAGGCAGTATCACCATGGAAAACGATTGCCCACTCTTTCTTCCCAGGAGTGGCTAGTGTGTTTGAACCACCAGCCTTCTGGTTAGCAGTCAAGTGCCTTAGCCACTGTGCTACCAGGGCTCCTGGCACTATAAGGCTCCTTTAAGTAGCTATTGACTACTAAGCTGCTCTAGTGGTGTAGCGCCTAGGGCATTCGACCACTAACCAGAAGGTTCGCTGTTCAAACCCACTAGCCACTCCATTGAAGGAAGACTGGGCAATCTACTTCCATAAAGATTTACTGTCTCAGAAACCCAAAGGGGGTTGCTATGAGTTGGAATTGACTTGAGGTCAGTGAGGTGTTTTTTTTTTTTTTTTGGTTTAGTATAACACAACGCAAGGCAACGCAACGCGCTGCCGTGGAGTCAGATTCAACTCATAGCGACCCCTCCTTGGGTGTCTGAGGTGGTATCTCTAGGGAAGTAGATTGTCCAAACTTCCTTCTGAGGAGTAGCTGGTAGTTTAGTATGTTGTTGTTGTTGTTATTTGCCGTTGAGTCGCCCCCGACTCATAGCAAACCCTCCTTGGGTTTCCGAGGCAGTATCACTACAGAAGTAGGATTGCCCAGCCTTCCTTCCGAGGAGTGGCTGGTGGGTTTGAACCGCCAGCCTTCTGGTTAGCAGTCAAGTGCTTTAGCCACTATGCTACCAGAGCTCCCAGTATATAGGGGGAAAAAAACCCACCAAACTCTCTGCCCTTGAGTCATTTCCAACTTATAGTGACTCTTCCTTAGGTTCCCAAGGCGGTGTCTCTGGTGAAATAGATTTCCCAATGTTCTGGTTACCTAGTGCCAATCTGACAAGAACATACCACAAATGGGATGGCTTAAACAAACAGGAGTTTATTCTCTTACAATTTGGAGGCTTTAAGTCCAAGTTCAAAGGGCCAGGCTCTAGGGGCTGGGTGAAAGCCCCTCAGCTTTGGGCTTCAGCTCTGCTTCCAGCTCCCGGCCCACTGAAGCTAGAGGCTTTTCTTCACCCAGACAGTTGTTGGCTGCTGAGGCTGCCAAGCCCAAGGTTGATAAATAAAAAGGCACAGTCCCGATGTCACCAAACCCCATGGCAGGCCATTAATTCAAGTCCATTGTAAGTCCCTAGGCCGACAGAGCATGGCAGGATGCTGAACAACAGCACAGCTTCATGTAGGGTTCAGGCATGCCACAAGCTAAAGACCATTCTCAAGGCTTCTCCTTATATACAGGAAGCAGCAGACCACTACCAAAGGTAGCTACTCAGCTGCTTGTGGTAGATCCCACCATGGAGGTGACTGCCAGTTTCATCATGGGGAATAACTACTGCCAGTTGCCCAGCCACTCAACCAGGCCCAGCCAAGTTGACACACTAACATAACCACCACACCCAACCTTCCTTCCCAGCAGTGGCTGGCAGGTTTGAACCACCAGCCTTCTGGTTAGCTGTCAAATGCCTTAGGCACTATGCCACCAGAGTTCCCTGCCTTGTTAAAGATTCAGGCTCAATAAAGACCCCAGAAGAAAACTCCTACGTAGCAGGGCTAAGCCAGCTGGAGAGTGAAAACTGTACCCTAACTGCACTAATAAAGCTTAAAAACAAACCTTGAAGCAATCAAGCTGACTTGTAATAAGTTTTAAGTAACAAAATCCAGACATTTAACAATGTAGCAACCACAATATTTATCATGAAATCAAATGCTATTGGATATAGTGGAATATGGGAAAATTTGGCATCCATGGATCCAGACAGATAATAAGTAAGTAAATAAGCATATGGGAAGATAGCATAAGGGTTCTTTGTACAGTAGAATGCTGAATGCCACCCACTAAGTATGGAGGAAATGATGGTGTTGGCGAAGCATCCATTTGTCACAGTAAATACTGGCTCAGATGAGAATCATCAATGATGGCTAAATTGAAGGGGAAATTTTGATGAGGAATAGGATAATTGTGTGGTCTTAAAGTGCTTCCCTGAGACTGCTTTTTAATTAGAAAAGAAAAAAAAAAAAACAGTAACTATAGGTGGTCCCTGGGTTATAAAAGAGATCCATTCCTAACTGTATCTTCAAGTCTTCAAGAGGAATTTGTAGGTGAGTCAGAACAGGTGCAAACAGTTCTTATTAAACCTTACTTGAGTGCAAGAAAAAAGAGCTGTGGTGGTGTAGTGGTTATGGCATTTGGCTGCTAACCAAAAGGTTCCAAACCACCAGCAGCTCTGTGGAAGATGGGGCAGTCTGGTTCCATAAAGATTTACAGCTTGGAAATCCAATGGAGGTCACTATGAGTTGGAAACAACTTGGTGGCAGTGAGTTTGGTTTTATTTTTTTGGCTGCTCACCAAAAGTTTGATGGTTTGAAACCACTAGCCACTCTGTGAGAGCAAGAGGATGTAATATGCTTCTGTAAAGATTTACAGCCTTGGAAACCCAATGAGAGTCGCTCTGAGTCTGCATCAACTTGATGGGAGTGAATTTGGGTTTTTTGGTTTAGTGCAAGAAAAGGCTCAAAGCCTTTTCAATGATGTAGAAGTTGCATGTGCAGCAAGTGAAGGTGATTGTGATGAAGACTTTGCTGCAAATAGGAGTTGGCTCAATTATTTCCAAGTGAAGGCAAACTCACATAATCTTAAAGAGCAAGTACTCACTGCCATTGAGTCGATCCCAACTCATAGCTAGAAGGTTGGAAGTTCAAACCTACCACCCACTCTTCAGAAGGAAGTTGGGTAATATACTTCTGTAGTGATACTGCCTTGGAAATCCAAGGAGGGGTTGTTATGAGTCAAATTGACTTGGTGGCAGGGATTTTTTTTTTTTTTTTTAAATGCAGAAGACCTGGCATGTACTTTCAATTCCTAGCCAAGGTACCTCAAGTGCAGCCATGCCCCCCCACAATCTGTCATTGTTGGTTTGAATGTGACTATTATGCTAAACAGGTTTGAGAGGAGCTTTCAGGCTAAGATAGATTAGAAAGAAAGGCCTGGTGACCTACATCTGGAAATCTGCTGGTGAAAACCCTATCACAATAGTCCAACTCACAATCGATCACGGGGATGGTGCAGGTTAGGGAAGTGTTTTGTTCCATTGTGCATGGGGTCACCATAAATCAGGAGGCCAACTTAACAGCAGATAATTACAACAAGAGAAGGACACATCCCTCTGTGTTTTCTTGAAAAAAATGCCTAACTTCAATCTAATCACAGGAAAGCATCAGACAAGGCCAGGTGAGGAACATTCCGTAGAAAGTCCAGTACTCTTTATAAGTGTCATTCGTGAAAAATAAAAGAAGATTGAAGAACTGTCACAGATTGGAGGAGACAAAGGAAAGAAGGCCACTAAATGCATTGTGGGAGCCTGGCTTTGATTCAGAAGAGATGAGGGACATGAGTGGAAAACCAGATGAAATCTGAATAAAATCTGTAATTTACTTAATAGAATTGTACCAATGTTAATTTCTTAGTATTGCTCATGGTACTTTGGTTTTACATAGGAACTCTCTGTTCTATTTTTGCAACTATTCTGTAAGTCATTATATTTTTGTAAATATGCACTAATTGGAGCTCTGGTGGCACAGTGCCTAAGGCATATGCCTGCTAACCAGAAGGTTAGCGGTTCAAACCCACCAGCTGCTCCGCGGAAGTAAGATGAGCCAATCTACTTCCATAAAGATTTACCTCCCTGGAAACCTGTTGGTGGGTCCCCCAATGGGGGTTGCTTCAAGTCAGAATCAACTCCAAGGCAGTGAGTTTGATTTTTTTTTAAAGAAGCACATGAATTCTAGCTCTTTCCAGTTAACTGTTACTAAAGACACACCCTGCTGACCCCTCCTCAAATGTTCATAGAAAGGCTGAAAGGCTGGCCCTGCCAACTCAAAAGGCAAAGGGAATAGACATGAAAAAGCAATAACATTATCAAGTACTTGGAAGCTGTTTGTCTGAGGAAACTGATCCTAAAGGGACTGAGTCTGTGGACAAAGCATCCTTTCCTGTAATTCCTACTGACTCAAATGAATGCAAGAGAAAGAAAAATTGGGCTCTGGAAAGAATGAAAGATATAGGGTACATGCTGGGATCTCCTCCATGGGTCTGATAATGCGTTTTCCTAGCTTTGTGACTCCATCCATCTCTTTTGAAAAGAGCATGAACACTCCCTTGTGCAGTGAATAGGCTGGAACTGATTAGCATATACATTCACTGTGTGAGGATCCCTTAGCACCCAGGAATGTGGTGTGGCCTGGCTTTGAGGCATGAGGGCTTCAAAGAATTCCTGATTGAAGTTCAGAAATAAGACTTGTCCTGTCCTAGCCCCAAAAGTTCATTCTCAAGATACCCTGCTCATCTTTAAAGCCCAGCTTCAACTCATATTGGAAGAAAGAGGTGCTTGTTTGAACAGTTTATCCAAACTAACAACTGTAAAGCATTATATATTGTATAATTGAGGGTGACTGCTGGAAGTTTCATTTTTCTTCTTATAGTATACAATGTGATATAATGTTTAAAGTGTATTTTCTAAAACACCATCACTCTTATTTAAAAGATCCAGCTATTTTCATTTAACTAGTGACCAACACTTTCTTCCTTTCTGTTGTTTTATAATTCTGGTAGATAAATATTTTTCTTCAAGTAATACACTTAAGTATAAAGAGCTTAAAGTAACAAACATATTCTAATTGAAGAAGCAATAATCCTAATCAAGGCAAAATGATCTAAAGTCAATAATACATTTCATACTTTTGGGGAGAGAAGGGGGAATCTTATATCTGTGTCACTGTTCTAATAATAAAAACACTCCAGTGAAATTATATATCCCATTTTCACTTCCACCAAGGTAACTTTCTCTCGTAAAAGGGGGGAAAAAAAGCAGGAAACTTTTCATGCCATAAACTTAAATCCACAGTTTTCTTTTGGGGTGTAGAAAGTCAGAGATACTCTTCCTGGAGAGGAAGCAATTTTTACAAATCACTTCTGCTCAGCAAATGGATCTGGAGTGGGCAGAAAGCCGACATTCAGCTTCAGCAATAAACTCACAGAGCAAATGCCATGAATGTCGCACTCAGTTGCATGGCCGTGGCATTCACAAGGCTGACAAATTCCTCCAAAGAGTATTCCATCCACACGGTAATAGCCTGAGAGGCATGACTGCAAAAGAAGGGCTGGGTGACCATTTTGTGAATGCAACTCAGCAGATTATGCAAATCATCTTCTCTCCACTGCCTCAGAAAAGTCAACTGCTCAATTTTCCTTGAGTAGAGACAGTTAGTTGTTTCTTCTTTTAAAACAACTTTATGGAGGTATAGTATATACTCCATAACACTCATTCATTTTAAGTGTGCAATTGAATGACTTTTAGTACATTTACTAAGTTGTGCAACTATCACTAAACTACAGTTCCATATTTATTTTGAAAGGCAGAAACATTCACACAACAATGTAATGGTAATGTAATCAGTCAGCATATACCTGAGTGATATTCCACAAACCAAAAAAAACAAATTAAACTAGCATTAGGTAACATTAGGCCACTTAATCGGTATTTTAATTAAAAGGATTTTTTCTCTCAACTTTGTTTTTATCCCACTTTGTTTAAAATTAAACAAATTATGGAAGTGCAGTCCACACCTGCCTCAAACCACACCATTCATTTTAGCAAAAATTACAGATATGATTTTTATGGGCTAACATCAGACAGGCAACGTGGGCATTCAGGGACACTTTACCTACAAGGAAGAGAGAACCACCTGACACACATAATTCATTTACTCCTTACGAAAATCCTGTGAAATATTCTACATTGTAGATATGGAATCTGGAACACAGAGCAATTCATTCTGTGCCCAGTGAACCAAATGTGTGGTTGAAAGCCAAGTGAATACATCTCTGAGACCCTGTCCAAGATAATCTGGGCCCAAAAAGTATCTAAAAACAGGCCTGCCTTATCTAAACCTGTCTTATATGCATGCTAGTGATTTGGAAATGTTGATATACAATGAGGTTCAATCCTCCTTAGAAATGCATAACATGATATGGGTGGTCAACTTTCCTGTAGAGAGAGCACTATAGGAAATGTATCTATACTTCAATTTAATGATCAAAAAATAAAATCAAGTTTTTTATTCAGCAATCTAGTTTTTCATTGTGCTTAGGTTTTTGTGGCAAGAAATGTGATAGGGTCTATAACTCTTGGTTCAGGATTATCAGAGAAGTTGTTCATTGTATTCCTCTAAGAGGGATTCAGATAATAATCTAAAGAGTATGTACTTCTCACCTCCTGCAGGAGCACTTCCCGCTAGAGACTAGACCCTTTGTCACCTTGTCTAATTGATTCACTTGGGAAGGCAAAGGGGCAGAAGGGGAGAATTGGGGCTTAATAGCCTGAAAGAGGAGTTCTGAAGCTGAAGCAAAAACTCATTTCTTTTTTTGTGTGAAAAGATGGGCAAGTGGAGGTGAAGAAGGGGAGAGCAACTTATACTGCCCTGAGGCAACTCCAGAAAGGGGTCCAAAGACAGAACATGACCTCCAATATTTCTACAAACATTCCGTATGTACCTATGGCCCAAAAACGTCCAAAGCAAATATTAAGTTTCTAAAATTGAAATTCAAATATGCTTCATTACACATTAAAGAATGCACATTTTTCCCCTTAAGCAAGAATGAAAATGAAGTAGATGGAGAGGAGAAGCCTTACCTCACATGAGATACCTGAATAGCCTGGAGGACATTCACAGTGCTCCACCTCGGTGGCCAGGGCCAAGTCTATAACATTAGGGCTCGCTGTGTCCAGAGAGACAGAATCTAGCCTGCAAACAGACAAGACTTGGTATATAACTTATATTCTCGCAAAAGACACCTAACACCTCAATGAAGACAGGCTCTAAAAAGATAGACTTCAAATAACCCACTCACTGCCATTGAGTCAATTCCAACTCATAGCAACTCCTATTGGGTTCCCAAGGCTGTAAGTCTTTGCAGAAATAGATTGCCTCATCTTCTTCCTGCAGAGCAGCTGGTAGCTTTGAACCACCAAACTTCTGGTTAGGAGACAAATGCCTCACCCACTACACAACCAGAGCTCCTTAAACAAAATGGAGATGTGGCTTTTGTAACTAAAGGTTTCACAATAGACTCTCTGGGATTATCATATCCCTTAAATAACACCTTCTTTGTTTGGTAGATTGCCCATAGACAGCTGTGAGAATGAGTTTGCCCACTTGGAGTTGAAGTACTTCAAAAAATTCATCCATTCCATCCTTATATCTCCTATGCAGATAGATTATTCTTAATGTATAATTCTATGTTTGCTTTAGCTGCATCCAACTCTTATGCTAGAATTTGACCTTCTCAAAGTACTAAAATGACCAAAGATGGACACATTAGCTTAAATATTCTCTGTAAAACATAAAAGCTTTAACATCAGAAGTGTGAGACCCAGACCCCAAAGTGGTCCAGACATCTGTTAACTCATTAGCATGTTCCAGAAGCTGCTAGAAAGTTTCTGATCCTGACAGGAAGTCTATCTCTACTAAATTTATTTGTCATAGACAGCTATTCCTACATCTTCAATAAAATCACAATTAATTTGTTAATAAAAATAGTAATTTTCAAGACATCCAATTTCATTAGCTGTGTCCTTAAAATAAAAGTAAAATGTATTAAGCTTATATAACAATAAAGCTAATGTCAAACTTTTCCCTTCCTCTTCAATACCTACCTGTAAAGGGCCATTTTTGCAGAATTGTAGTTGGCTCTGATCAAGAGATGTGTTACATTGGCAAGGACAGTCATCAGCTGGTCACGATCTATCTCCCTTTTGTTATTAAAGTCTCGGAAGTTCTCAGGCACAAGTCTGACCACATTGAAGTACTCTTCATAGGGTTGCAATGATAAGCCCTCAGCCTGTGTACTTAAAGTGAGTCCATTTCCCTAACATTTAAAATAAATTCAATCATTATTATATGTAATCAATTTAAATGTCAAAAACAAAATCAAGGTTTTTTATTCAGCAACCTAGTGTTTCATTGTACTTAGACTTTTGTGGCAAGAAACGTGACAGAGTCTGTATTTCTTGGTCCAGGTTTATCAGAGAATTTGTTTCATTGTATTCCTCTAAGAGGGCATCAGATAAAAAAATCTAAAGAATTTGACCTTTGGGTGGGGGGGAGGGGGGGTGTCTGGGAAAAGAAGCAAAGTCATGGATTTGCCCAGTTTTTATCAAAGAAACCAGTCTGACATCTTTAATCTTTAACTAAAGGCTATAAATAGAAAAAGTATGTAAATACACCTCCAGCTTTCCCTAGAAATACTGTTAACGAAAATCATTGATCATACACAGCTTCCAAATCCTGCAGAGTTGAGATGGAGGTAACTGAGAGGAGTGCAAAAACTGGAGACAACAACTGACTTCTGCCTAAATGCACTGCAGACCCCATGGCACCAACACTTTGGGAATCCTGGGAGGGGCAAGCCCTGGGGAGTACAGGGCAGTGGTAGAGGACAGGAGAGAGGAACTTAGAAAAGCAGCAGCACATCTCTGGTCCCCTTGTCACCTTGTCTACCTGATTCACTCCGGAAGGCAAAGGGGCAGAAGGGGAGAATTGGGGCTTAAAAGGCTGAAGGAGGAGTTCTGAAGCTGAAGCAAAAACTCTTTTCTTTTTTACATGTGAAAAGATGGGCAAGTGGAGGTGAAGAAGGGGAGAGCAACTTATGCTGTCCTGAGGCAACTTCAGAAATGGGGCCAAAGACAGAATGCTTATTCTCAAGAGTCTTACTGGTTATCCAGAAGAGATAACGCTCTGCTGATTGGCCACTTGGTAATTTCTGATTAGAATGGCCTCTCTGAGCCACTGTGATTCACAGAGCTATCACCCATTAAACCCTAAAGCTGAATGGCAAAAGCAATGACAAAACAATTACCTTAATGATAACATCTGCATGAGAGACTAAGTCACTGTCCACTGTCTCCACTGGAATATCATAAGACACCGTGTATTTCAGGAATCTACCAAATGTAGTCAGCTGGAATGATTAAGGTAGAGTGAACACAGGGAAAAAGTTTCATAGACCCTAAGGAAGTGGAAGTGGTCACTAGGATTCATCTAAAAACAACGAGGCTGCAGGCCATCTGAGCAGCCACAATATATAAGGGCATTCATATTAAAGGCCTTACAAAGGAAGCATGTCATGTAGACATCTCATTAATAAATATTACTAAAATGCAGAATATTGCATTTTGGTACTATTTATTCCTTCTATGCCAAAGCCCACTGCCATCGAGTCTATTCCAACTCACAGCAAACCTATAACACAAAGTAGAACTGTCCTATAAGATTTCCAAGCCTGTCAGTCTTCATGGAAGCAGACTGCCTCATCTTTCTCCTGTGGAGCAGCTGGTGAATTTGAACCATTGACCTTTTGATTAGCAGCCAAATTCTTTAACCACTGAGCCACCAGAGCTCCTTCTATAAACTTTAGTTAATACAATAGACATTTATTTCCTTTGACTATTTTAGGGGGTAAGAAGTTTGATCCATGACTACAAACTCAGCATTTTCGCCTCCTTGCCCTGGTTACAGGCAAATAACAAGGAACATGTTTAATCTAGTATTATCACTCTAGGTAAAGGAAATATAAAAGATATTCCTAATCAGATATCCCTCAGTGTAAAATAGAGATTTTTCTTTCTGACAGTGTGATAGTTGATTTTCTGTGTCCACATGGCTAGGCTATGGTGCCCAGTTATTTAGTCAAACAGCAGTCTAGAGGTTTCTGTGAAGGTATTCTGTACATCTAATTAACATTTACAATCAGTTGACTCTAAGTAATGGAGATTACCCTCAATAGTATGGGTGGGCCTCAACCAATCAGATAAAGGGCCGAAGAACAAAAACTGAGGTTTCTTGGAGAAGGAATTCTGCTTCCAGGCTGCAACACAGAAATCCTGCCTAAGTTTCCAGCCTGACACTTGCCCTATAGGTTTGACATGAGTCTGCCACATCAACTCCAGCCTCAGTTTAAGCCAGCCAGCCTGTCCAACAGATTTCAAACTTGACAGCCTCCACAATCATGTGAGATAATTCCTTAAATTCTATCTCATATTGGGTCTGAGGAATCTTAAATGATACAGATGGATATGTAACTACAACAAACAACATAATTTTCAGAATCCAATCATTCATTGCACTATAAAATTAGAAGCAAACTTAAGGGGAAAAAATTGACCTCTGGTTATAAGATATTATTATACATTAGAGCACATCTTCTAAAATAATAATTTGATGGGGAAAAAAATTTAAAAATAAACACTACTTAAAAATACATAAAGTAAGTTATAAAATTTGAATATAATAACCAATTAACTAGAAATTTATCAAACCACAAGCCACTCTGAAAGCATAACATTACTTTAAAACAAATCAAATGCATGGTAAAGGTCAGTGGGCAGCTATAGTTTTTGAGATTGATCGATTTCATTGAATATATTTTCAAATCAATCCAAATCTGGGCATAAGTGGCATAATTGGTGAGAAGGAATGGAAATATGCCATTGAAGGGGAAGGTTAAGTCATATAAACCAGCGCTCTACTTTGTAAAATGACTATTTTGCATTTTCTTAAAATCTATTCATGAATGTGAATTTTATATGACTAACAGTCCATAATGATAATGAAACAGAGGACACAATGTGTTCCACAAACATCTATTGAGTGGTTTCTATATGCCAGACCCTTTACAAAGCCATGGGGATGCTAAGATAAAGATACACCCAACTATGAACAAAGCAGGGACATGACTAATGCTTCATTAGAGGCGCAAGTGATTCAAGAACCCAGAGAAGGAAAATAAAATGTCTGTCACTGGAATGGGAGAAAACTTTATAAAATAGATTTTCTATGAACTAGGGAAAGAACAAGAGTTCATATTTTAATGATGCAATAAAAAAATGGGAAAAAAAAGATACTATGAATTAGATATAGGCAAATACTGTGTAATTTTCTGCCAAACACTGAGTGATCAATAAAGCTACTTAAATTGCAAACAGAACTTCTTTCTTAATATTCTCTGAGGTCTTTGTCCAAGATGCCATTATTCCCAGCTGTGAACTTACCTTATTGCCTAGGTATGCCTTAGGAGCTGACCAATAGTACTTGGAGGTCAGCCTTTGCATGACCGCAGAGTTATTGATGCTAATTTGATGAAGTCGGCCATGAGAATCCTGCTGAGACTGGACTGTATTTGAATTGATCAAGTCAGTGACCAGCCACCCAGACATGTCGTTGACCTTAAAGAACAATCCAAAGGTTTTAGAATATAAACTATAAGTCACCTCAAATATTCCCCAGTCCATGCCTGTATGTTCAAAATGAAGAATCAGATCCACCCAGCTCAGCTAGTGATGGGATTAACACAATTGTGGCTATAGAACTGCACACTGTGACCCTTCTATTTGTCAAAGGATCAGAAAAACCTGAGAACAAGTCAAACACATCCCTCAAACCCATATTAATTACAAGAAAGTTAGCAAGTAAAACCATAAAGGCCATGGATACACAATTTAGATAAATAAATAAAATAGGAACAAACCAAACCAAACCCAGTGCCATAGAGTTGATTCTGACTTATAGTGACCCTTTAGAACAGAGTAGAACTGCTCCATGGGGTTTTCAAAGTTGTAAATCTTTACAGAAGCAGACTGCCTCATCTTTCTCCCTCAGAGCAGCTGGTGAGTTTAAACCACCAAACTTCTGGTTAGCAGCCTTACCCACTGTGTCACCAGAGCTCCTAAAAAATAGCAAAGAACTTAATAAATCAAGTAAAATGTCATTTGCTATTTCCATCTCCAGCTTCTTTGTTGCCCCTGCCTTTTATGTAAATGCTGAAAACATACAGCAATAACCTCTAGAATCTCTACTCCTAATTTATCAATTGCATTGAGATGACAAATGATAGCCCCAGCTGGGAGTCACAAGAATTCACTTCCATTCTCAGGTGCTGACAGGATGGGAGGAAGGGAGACGGAGAGAAGGGGAGTCAGGGACTAGCCCTCCACACCAGTTCCCTACCATGTGGGAAACTGGTCTCTTGAGATGGGGAGAATCAAGAGAAAAGGTGGCCACCAGCAAGATGACCCATCCCCTGCATCCCCTCCCTGCCCATCAGCCACCATACTCTGTTTCCTTCCTTAATTGCCTGGTCAAGCACCATCCTCTATCTCATCCCCCAGAACTCCTCATTCCCCAAACAGCTGGAAGTATCTTGCCTGCCCCTCAATATCCTATTACACATGCTGTTGTGCTGACCCCTGTCACTGAAGTGCCAGATTTTTTGAGCCCTGAAAATTCTGTATAACCCCATGTCCTAGTGTGCTTTCTTGGCCTTAGATGGGAGTAGAGCAAGTAGACTGAGCAGGTGTGCCACTCAACACATTTTACAAGTTTGAAGACACTTATATAGGATATGTTCTGTTATGTCATGTCATCCTATGGCTTCTATAGGAAAATTATACGGAGACAAACATGTGGCCATCAGGACACAGGGCACTTTTCACAGCGGGCTGCCTTTGGTCTGGCGGATGCCTTTCCTAGTGGATGGGAGTGATAGGAAGACACACTGGAAGTCAGCCTCATTACTTCTGAGCCACAGCTCACTTGAGCTCACTTGAGCTCCTTTGAGGTGACCAGCATATTAAATCCTTGTCTCCCACCTGGCTGATGGGCCAAGAAAGGCTGTCGCAGACATCAGACACACCAAAGCAGAAGCAGTCGGAGCAGCCCTGGGGGTTTCTTTCCTTCAAGTTATAAAATCCTGACTTGCAGCGATCACAGGCTTTCCCCTCAACATTTTCCTGCAATTTAGGGTGAAAGATTAGCATTAGTAACCAATGTGCCCAGGAAGACAGAATAAAAAACGATATTATTGTGACATTAACAAGAAAGCCTTTGCAAATACAGAGAAAGAGGTAGGTAAATAATAAATGTTCCAGGTACATGTAAAATCTGAGGAAGTCAATATTTCCAGAATGTTATTGGTTGTTAAGTATTCTCAAGCTGATTCTGGTGCATAGAGACCCTACAGGACAGAGTAGAACTGTCTCATATGGTTTCCAAGGTTGTAATATTTTATAGAAACATATTGCCATATTTTTTTTCCTGCATTTCCAGAATAAATATTTCAAAATATCTATTATTTGATTTATAGTCAGGAACAAAGCTAGGAATCCCAGAGCTTAGACATTATACTTAAATGGCTTGTGTTCTATTCCTCTTTTAAAATTTCCATTTTTGCTCATCTATCAAGCCTTTCATATTTTTTTTCATTTTTTTTTTTAACTTTTAATTGCAATTTGGGTGAAAGTTTACAGGGCAAATTGGTTTCCTATTCAACAATTCATACAACAATTCGCATATATGCGATCATGACAGTGTTCACAGTCCCCATGATGTAACAGCACTCTTCCCACTTCCTCCCTGTGTTTATCATTTCTTCATCATTCTTTATTATCCCTTCCTACCTTCTGAGATTTATTCCTGGATAAATTCTGCCCTTTTGATTTTATATGGTTGGTTGTTCTAGGCAGTGTGTATCTTCCGGTGTTACTCTTCACATTATAGGCATGTTTATTGATTGGCTGAAAGTTAAGTCAACAGGGGTAAGTTCGATTCCAGGCTTAAAGGGTGTCTAAGAGCCATAGTCTCAGGGTTTCCACCAGTTTCTATCAGACTGGTAAGCCTAGCCGCCTTTATGATTTTGAGTTTTGTTCCACATTTTTCTTCCACTCTACCCAGGACCTCCTGTTGTGATCCCTGTTAGAGTAGTGTGCAGTGAGTGATAGCTGGGCACCATCTAGTTCTTCTGGTCTCAGAGTCACGTAGGTTGGGTTCATATGATCCATTAGTCCTCTGGACAGATTGTTTCCATGTGTCATAGATTTTCTTCACTCTTCTTTGCTCCGGGTGGGGAAAGACCAATAGTTGTATCTTAGATGCCTGCTCACAAGCTTTCAAGACCTCAGTCACTGCTCACAAAGTGGGATACAGGATGTAGAACATTGTCTTTGTGGACTATTTATGCCAATTGAAGTCCCCTAGACTATGTTCCTGAATCCCCAGACCCAGTGACTCATTCTTTCAAGGTGTTTGTTTATGGCTAAGAAGTTTTCATAACTTTGCTCCCTGTATGCTCTAGTATATTCATGGATATATTTGCAGTACATATGTAGAAATATCCTCTGTCAAAACTACATAACTCACTGCCATCATGTCAATTCCAACTCACAGCAACCCCCTTTGGGTTTCCAAGGTGGTAAATCTTTACAGAAGTAGATTGCCCAGTGTTCCTTCCACAGAGTGGCTGGTGGGTTTGAAACACCAACCTGCTGGTTAGCAGTCAAATACCTTAGGCATTAGAAACCAAAAACTGAACTCACAGCTGTCGAGTCAAATCCGACTCATAGCAGCCCTTCCTTGGGTTTCCAAGGTGGTATCTCTGCGGAAGTTGATTGTCCAATCTTCCTTCAGAGGAGTGGCTGGTGGTTTTGAACTGCCAGCCTTCTGGATAGCAGTCAAATGTCTTAGGTACTGTTGTTGTTGTTGTTATGTGCCGTCGAGTCAGCCCTGACTCATAGCAACCTCTCCTTGGGTTTCCGAGGCAGTATCACTATGGAAGTAGGATTGCCCAACCTTCCTTCCGAGGAGTGGCTGATGGGTTTGAACCGCCAGCCATCTGGTGAGCAGTCAAGTGCATTAGCCACTATGCTACCAGAGCTGTCTTAGGTACTAGGGCTATATAATTGCTTTTCTTACTAATAAATACTGAAACTAAACCTACTGCTGTATAATTAATACTGATTCATAGCGACCATATAGGTGGAACTGTCTCACAGGGTTTCCAAGGCTGTTCTTTACGGAAGCAGACTGCCACATCTTTCTCTTGCAGAGCAGAGCTGGTGGGTTCAAACCATTGACCTTTCAGTTAGTAGCCAAGTGCTTAACCACTGTGTCATCAGTGCTCCTATTAATAAATAATTAATAAATACATGGTGAAGAATTAACTTTGTTTGAAGAGAAGTATGGCTTTTGCCCCTGGCCCCCATTGTATATAATCTTATAACCTCTAAACCCTTTGCATTTTATGAGTGATTAGAGTATCTTTGGGGAGCTCTGGTAGCATAGTGGCTAAGACACTTGTCTGCTAACCAGACGGCTGGTGGTTCAAACCCACCAGCCACTCCTCGGAAGGAAGGTTGGGCAATCCTACTTCCGTAGTGATACTGCCTCGGAAACCCAAGGAGGGGTTGCTATGAGTCGGGTTTGACTTGACGGCACATAACAACAACAACAGAGTATCTTTGTTATTCTTGATGAAACTCTGGACCACACCTACTAGCTTAGGCTAGCTAACATGAGTCAAGGTGAAGCAGGCACCACTGCCAGTCTTAGTATGGGAGCTAGCCACACCAGAATGGCCAGCCATGTGATTAGAGCATTGGGACTTTGAACCACATGATGTCAGCTTAATTTCCATGGAGGAGAGGGAGCTAGAGATTGAGTTCTAACCACATTGGTGATGGTTCTATCAGTCATGGCTAGGTAAGAAAACCTCAATAAAATCTCTGGACACCAAAGCCCGGGTGAGCTTCTCTGGTTGACAAACTATGAATATTGTTACACATCAATATGTGCGGGAGGGAGGGAGATGCGTTCTGAGGACAAGGAAGCTTTATGTCTGGTACCCTCCCAAACATACCTCTGTTTGTGTCTTCCTTTGGCTGGTCCGGATTTGTATCCTTTTGCTATAATAAAACTGTAATACTAAGTACAGTGCATTCCAGAATCCTGTGAGTCATTCTAATGAGTTATCAAATTAGAAGGTGGTCATGAAGACCTTCAATTTTTAGCTAACTGGTCAGAAATTAAGGTGACCCTATGAACCCCAAAACTTGGTGGATGGAGTCTAAAGTAAGGATAGTTTTGTGGGGGACTGTGCCTTTAGACTGCATTTTGGCAAATGCATTGCAGTCATATATAAAATGTGTCTAATAATCAGCTTATATGGAAATAATCATACAAGGTACAACAGGAAGCCCCAGGCACTACTGCCAGAAATTGCTATTAGTATCATATTGTCAAGTAAAACACTTCACTGGTATCAGTTTAATGTTTCTTATAGTTGTTCAATTCTTTTTTAAAAAGTATCAAAAATTACGTATCTGCCTTTAATTAATATTCATTGTATTTAGTTTTTATCTAGTTCACCTCTACACAAAGCCAGAAAAGAGTATTATGGAAGAGGTGAGTTGTAAACAAAGGCTTAAAAAATAAATGATACACTATGCTTGGCTTCATTTAAGAAGTCACAGAAATACCTTTAGAATATATCACCAGTGCTGATAACTAAAACCAAAAAACCAGGTGCCATTTAAGTCCAAGGGCATATAATGTGGACAACTCATTATGCCATAATGCCCTACTTCTTGGAAGGTAGGAGGGAAAGGGGTGTTCTGCTTAAACCTTATTGCTTCGCTTAAGTACAGACCTTCCAAGCCACAGCCTCAAAAGAAGTTCAGGGACATCTTTCACCTTGGCCTCACACATACCTTGCAGAGACAAGGCTCTGTGCAGGGGTCATCATTCACACTACCAGCCAAATTGCATTCACAGCGAACACAGCTGGGGTAGCCCTTATAGCCAAACTGGCAGCGATCACATTTTTCTCCTGTATAACCTTCTTTACATGGGCACTGACCTGGCCACTTCCCTAGAAATAAACAAACGGCAATGACGAAACATGAAGATAAAAGAGGTTTAAATCAGGGGTCAGCAAACTCTTTCTGTAAAGAGCCAGATAGTAAGGATTTTAGGCTTTTTCGCCAGAGTGTCTCTGCTGTAACTACTCAGCTGAACCATTGTTGCTCAAATGTAGCCATAGGCAATACATAAAGAACTGCCATAGCTCTATTCCAATACAACTTTATTTATAAAAACTGCCTGAGCCAGATTTGGCCCATGGGCCAGTTTGTCATCCTTGGTTTTTTTAAAAAAAAAACAACAGAAATTAAAAGCACGGAGACTGATGGTAAGGTAAAATGAGAATGTAAAACATAAAATGGTGCAGCAACTTTGGGAAACTTTTTGGCAGTTATTCAAAATGTTAAGCATAAAGTTAGTATACGAGCCAATAATTCCATTCCTAATTATATATCCAGGAAGAATGAAAACATATGTCCATAGCAAAACTTACACCTGAATGTTCGTAACAGCATTATTCATAATAGCCAAAAAGGGAAAATACCAGAATGTCCATTAACTGATGAACAGATAAATAAAATATGGTATATCCATTCAATGGACTATTACTTGACAATAAAAAGGAATGAAGTAGTGATGAATGCTACAACATGGATGAACCTGGAAACATTATACTGAGTAAAAGAAACCAGCCATAAAAGATCACATACTGTATAGTTCCATTTACATGAAATGTCCAGAATAAGCAAATCTATAGAAACATAAAGTAAATTAGTTATGCCTAGGGCTGGGGGTAGCATGAGGAGGGAGCATCAGGGCTGACAGTTAATGGGTATGGGGTTTCTTTTGGGGGTGATGAAATGTTCTAATATTTGATTGTGGTTATAATGGCAGCCATAAATATACTAAAAAATACTGAATTGTGCACTTTAAATGGATGAACTGTGTGATATGGTATGTGAATTATATTGCAAAATAAAGGTTAAAAAAAAAAAAAGAAAGCACAGATGCCAATGACAGAAGAAAATGAGCCTTGCCATCACTCTTAATGCAGCTCTGAAAATATTTCTAGTTATGTAACTTTGGCCAACTGCCCTGAGCTAGTTTCCTTGACTGCAAAATGAGTTAAATAATTTCTATCTGCTATGATTGTTAAGTTTAAATGATACATATTTTTAAATGAACCTAATTAAGGGTGGTTGCTATCATTATCATCCTCATCCCATTACCAGTGGCCTGTGAGATCAATTCAACCCTCCACATTCCTGGAAGGCCCTCATTGTTGGCACATCCATCCTGGCTGCTCAATATCCATTTTAACTGCCTGACAATCAGGGAGGGGTCACAGAGTCCTTTGAACAGATGCAACTTATTCGGGACACTCTGGTGTTTGCAAGTCCATTTGCCAGTTTTTGATATAGAAAGAACACTGACATTTACAAAATTAACTTGTAGACTGGCTTGTTTTGTGAGATGATGTATGCAAAAGCCTCTGTTTGTCTTCTATGGGCTAAACCCAGTGATTGCTTTACTGTGTTCCACATATGGTTTAAACTGAGCCTTATCCTCTTTCATCAAGTACTTAATTATCTGCTCAAATTTCATTTCATCACCCTGATGTTGCCACCTCCACACCCCATTCCCCTCTAATCGTAACTACTAACTTTGTTTTATGCTTAAGACTCTTGTCCCTGCCTGACATCATATTACTTGTGGTCTTGTTTGTTTATTACCTGAAGATGAGCAGGGACTTTGATTATCTCATTGATAATATTGCTTACATATGCTAAAAATAAACAAGCAAACTGACTGCCATCAAGTTGATTCTAACTCATAGCAACCCCCACTGAATTTCCAAGGCTGCAAATCTTTATGGAAGTAGATTGCCTCATCATCCTTCTGTGGAGCAGCTGGTGGGTTTGAACCCCCAACCTTCTGGTCAGCAGCTAAATGCTTTAACCACTGCACCACCAGAGCTCCTTGACATATTAAGTACTCAGTAAATATCAGTGAGTAAAAGAATCAACAAAGACTCATACCCACCATATTGATACACAATGGTGATATTTCCAAGTCTTCTCTCCCAAAATCACTCACCAACACAAAGGTGAATCAAGTACTTACCATTGTGTAAGTCAGAATGGAGATCATCCTTAACACAGACAGAACTGAGAGACCCCAAGGGATCACAGTCACAGGGACGGCAAGGGTCATCCTCATAAGGAGAAACCTGCAAGGCAGAGAGGGTGTCCTGGATTATTTTACCAGAAATACTAGGAATATCAGCAATAATATCAATGATAATATTACTGACAAGGCATCTGTTTTTCATTCAAGGTGTGATCATGACAAAGATTTTTGTACAGCAAGGGGTAAAACTTTCAGGAAGATAAGGTGCTCTTAAACCAGAAAGCTTCAAACATCTCTTTGGTGGTGACAGCAGTTAGCATCATTACCAAAGTGTCATCCTTTCCCATGATCACCTCTGCTCGATCCCACTCCCCCCTACTGCTACCTATCAGAGCCTTATTTTAGTATCACCTATAGTCAGACGGGGAGTTCCTGGGTGGTGCAAATGGGTAAAGCACTTGGCTGCCAACTGAAAGCTTAGAGGTTCAAGTCTATCCAGAGCTGCTTCACGAGAAAGGCCTGACAATCTACTTCTGAAAAATCAATCATCGAAATCCCTATGGAGCATAGTTCCACTCTGACACAAGTGGAGTAGCCATGAGTTGGAATCAACTTAATGGTAACTAGTTTTTTTTTTTTTTTTTGCTCAAAAGGCACTGTTTCACTGTCTTCT